AGAGAAATTAGATCGAAAAAGGAGAGCAACCAAATACAAAGAGAAACAAGAAAAAAAGAGAAATTAAAAAACCAGCGACCTTCTGCTGATTTCTGTTCGCCTGGTATCTCAGATTTGAATTTAACGGTTTTCTGCCATTTGAGCGGTGGAAAGTGGAGGCAGAAAATGAGAGAAATTAGATCGAAAAAGGAGAGCAACGAAATACAAAGAGAAACAAGAAAAAAAAGAGAAATTAAAAAAACCAGCGACCTTCTGCTGATTTCTGTTCGCCTGGTATCTCAGATTTGAATTTAACGGTTTTCTGCCATTTGAGCGAAGGAAAATGGAGGCAGAAATTGAGAGAAATTAGATCGAAAAAAGAGAGCAACGAAATACAAAGAGAAACAAGAAAAAAAAGAGAAATTAAAAAAACCAGCGACCTTCTGCTGATTTCTGTTCGCCTGGTATCTCAGATTTGAATTTAACGGTTTTCTGCCATTTGAGCGGTGGAAAGTGGAGGCAGAAAATGAGAGAAATTAGATCGAAAAAAAGAGAGCAACGAAATACAAAGAGAAACAAGAAAAAAAGAGAAATTAAAAAAACCAGCGACCTTCTGCTGATTTCTGTTCGCCTGGTATCTCAGATTTGAATTTAACGGTTTTGTGCCATTTGAGCGGTGGAAAGTGGAGGCAGAAATTGAGAGAAATTAGATCGAAAAAAGAGAGCAACGAAATACAAAGAGAAACAAGAAAAAAAGGGAAATTAATATACCAAGCGACCTTCTGCTGATTTCTGTTCGGCTGGTATCTCAGATTTGAATTTAACGGTTATGTGCCATTTGAGCGGTGGAAAGTGGCGGCAGAAAGTGAGAGAAATTAGATCGAAAAAAAGAGAGCAACGAAATACAAAGAGAAACAAGAAAAAAAGGGAAATTAATAAAACAAGCGACCTTCTGCTGATTTCTGTTCGCCTGGTATCTCAGATTTGAATTTAACGGTTATGTGCCATTTGAGCGGGGGAAAGTGGAGGAAGAAATTGAGAGAAATTAGATCGAAAAAAGAGAGCAACAAAATATAAAGAGAAACAAGAAAAAAAGAGAAATTAAAAAAAACCAGCGACCTTCTGCTAATTTCTGTTCGCCTGGTATCTCAGATTTGAATTTAACGGTTTTCTGCCATTTGAGCGGTGGAAAGTGGAGGCAGGAATTGAGAGAAATTAGATCGAAAAATGAGAGTAACAAAATACAAAGAGAAACAAGAAAAAAAGAGAAATTAAAAAAACCAGCGACCTTCTGCTGATTTCTGTTCGCCTGGTATCTCAGATTTGAATTTAACGGTTTTGTGCCATTTGAGCGGTGGAAAGTGGAGGCAGAAATTGAGAGAAATTAGATCGAAAAATGAGAGCAACGAAATACAAAGAGAAACAAGAAAATAAGAGAAATTAAAAAAACCAGCGACCTTCTGCTGATTTCTGTTCGCCTGGTATCTCAGATTTGAATTTAACGGTTTTCTGCCATTTGAGCGGTGGAAAGTGGAGGCAGGAATTGAGAGAAATTAGATCGAAAAAGGAGAGTAACAAAATACAAAGAGAAACAAGAAAAAAAGAGAAATTAAAAAAACCAGCGACCTTCTGCTGATTTCTGTTCGCCTGGTATCTCAGATTTGAATTTAACGGTTTTCTGCCATTTGAGCGGTGGAAAGTGGAGGCAGAAAATGAGAGAAATTAGATCGAAAAAGGAGAGTAACGAAATACAAAGAGAAACAAGAAAAAAAGAGAAATTAAAAAAACCAGCGACCTTCTGCTGATTTCTGTTCGCCTGGTATCTCAGATTTGAATTTAACGGTTTTGTGCCATTTGAGCGGTGGAAAGTGGAGGCAGAAAATGAGAGAAATTAGATCGAAAAAAGAGAGCAACGAAATACAAAGAGAAACAAGAAAAAAAGAGAAATTAAAAAAACCAGCGACCTTCTGCTGATTTCTGTTCGCCTGGTATCTCAGATTTGAATTTAACGGTTTTCTGCCATTTGAGCGGTGGAAAGTGGAGGCAGAAAATGAGAGAAATTAGATCGAAAAAAGCGAGCAACGAAATACAAAGAGAAACAAGAAAAAAAGAGAAATTAAAAAAACCAGCGACCTTCTGCTGATTTCTGTTCGCCTGGTATCCCAGATTTGAATTTAACGGTTTTCTGCCATTTGAGCGGTGGAAAGTGGAGGCAGAAAATGAGAGAAATTAGATCGAAAAAGGAGAGCAACGAAATACAAAGAGAAACAAGAAAAAAAGAGAAATTAAAAAAACCAGCGACCTTCTGCTGATTTCTGTTCGCCTGGTATCTCAGATTTGAATTTAACGGTTTTCTGCCATTTGAGCGGTGGAAAGTGGAGGCAGAAATTGAGAGAAATTATATCGAAAAAGGAGAGCAACGAAATACAAAGAGAAACAGGAAAAAAAGAGAAATTAAAAAAACCATCGACCTTCTGTTGGTTTCTGGTTTCTGTATCTCAGATTTGAATTTAACGGTTTTCTGCCATTTGAGCGAAGGAAAATGGAGGCAGAAATTGAGAGAAATTATATCGAAAAAAAGGGAGCAACGAAATACAAAGAGAAACAAGAAAAAAAAGGGAAATTAATAAAACAAGCGACCTTCTGCTGATTTCTGTTCGCCTGGTATCTCAGATTTGAATTTAACGGTTATGTGCCATTTGAGCGGTGGAAAGTGGAGGCAGAAATTGAGAGAAATTAGATCGAGAAAAGCGAGCAACGAAATACAAAGAGAAACAAGAAAAAAAAGAGAAATTAAAAAAACCAGCGACCTTCTGCTGATTTCTGTTCGCCTGGTATCTCAGATTTGAATTTAACGGTTTTGTGCCATTTGAGCGGTGGAAAGTGGAGGCAGGAAATTGAGAGAAATTAGATTGAAAAATGAGAGCAACGAAATACAAAGAGAAACAAGAAAAAAGGAGAAATTAAAAAAACCAGCGACCTTCTGCTGATTTCTGTTCGCCTGGTATCTCAGATTTGAATTTAACGGTTTTCTGCCATTTGAGCGGTGGAAAGTGGAGGCAGAAATTGAGAGAAATTAGATCGAAAAAGGAGAGCAACGAAATACAAAGAGAAACAAGAAAAAAAGAGAAATTAAAAAACCAGCGACCTTCTGCTGATTTCTGTTCGCCTGGTATCTCAGATTTGAATTTAACGGTTTTCTGCCATTTGAGCGGTGGAAAGTGGAGGCAGAAATTGAGAGAAATTATATCGAAAAAAAGGGAGCAACGAAATACAAAGAGAAACAAGAAAAAAAGAGAAATTAAAAAACCATCGACCTTCTGCTGATTTCTGTTCGCCTGGTATCTCAGATTTGAATTTAACGGTTTTCTGCCATTTTAGGGGTGGAAAGTGGAGGCAGGAAATGAGAGAAATTAGATCGAAAAATGAGAGCAAAGAAATACAAAGAGTTGTCAGAAGGGGGCGGGGGAACCAACAGAAAATTAATTTCTTCATTCTGGCTATAATTATAATCCGATCAGATTCAGATTCGGCAATCTGGTAGATATGGGCATTCTCTACGATACTGCGTTTTATCGTTTTAGTTTTATCATATCTTTAAAATTGTGCCTGCCACAGATTTTCATACTTTGTGGTTTGGAAGGGGGCGTGGAATATTTTGAAATACACTTGTAGCAGTGTGATATCACATGAGTCTGGAAACAAAATTTGGTTGCTCTAGCTTTTATAGTCTCTGAGATCTAGTCGCTCATCAAGACAGACACTCGTCTCGTGTCACGTCATTAGCCGAACACGGTCGGTCCCAGTGCCGAACGCCGTCGGTCCCAGAGCCGAAGACCTGGGAACGTACGCTGAAAACTCAGCTGCGACACGTTCGTTGTATGAACTGGCACATCTATATACTGTATGGTTAGTTGTTGAACACATAGAGTCACTCATTAAAAGTTCTACCATCGCTGCCATCAACTTTTCTTGGAGAGTCTTAGAATTCCAAAACCAATCTTATACTTATGGTCCTCTTTACCCGCCTTGCTGTTTTTTCAGTTCAGGTAAGATATCTTTTTCTTTTATTAATGAACACGCAAGAAAAGGATTTTTTCACATTTTTCCATTTCCCGCTTAATTGCTGTAATTTGTATAATTAAAAAATTTCGCATCCTCTTGTGCAAATTTGATGCTCGTAACTTTGCTCGACTCGTCTCGAATAAATTGACTCAATTTACAACGGTTCGTTGTCCCCATGAAGTTGCGTCTCTTGGGTTGTGTTTGGGGGTACAACTGTGTTGAGGGATTTCCAAGAGTCGAGAGCAACAATCATGTTATGATACTCGTACGATAGTGGAGCTGGGCCACTTATTACCCCCAAACATGGGCACGCATGGCCCTATTGAGTGCCATAGGGAACCCATATCTCCTAATCAGCTTAGGTATTTTGCATAGCATTAGAATTCCCCATTAATATACTATGTATGCTATTATTCTATGCGTAGAGCGTGTGTGTGGGTGCCCTTGTGCACTGAGAGAATGGGGTGTACAAGATTTATTTTGTTATTGATTCTTGAAGGTATATTTGAATTTAAATATATTTACATATATATTTGATTTCTGATCTTGGTATTATTTCTGTGATGCAAACACATTTGAAGTGGAATGCTATTTTAATGCCAAATGGAAAGTTTAAGTCCGATTTAAGTTTCATATTCATATAATTTGCCAATATTTTTTGTGCAATATTTGCTCCAAGTGTAATTCCGTTGATGAAGTGCCGCAGATGCTATGCCCGCTGCCCCTTGTTCCTCGTTCCTGTCTCCTTCTCGCCCTGTGCGTGCCTGCCATTTAATTAACTGCACAGACAACATTTTCAATCTCTGCTGGCAACGACTCCCCTCGATTCCAATGTCGACTGGCAAATCCAAAATGCTGTTATAATATCGCAAACAAGCTGTTGGGCTTACAAAATTAAATCCCATGCCTGTCTGTCTGTCTGTCTCTCGTTTTGTGGCACTAAAAACTAATTGAAATTGCCATATTTCATGCATAATGCACAAGCTTTATACAATCTTCTACATAACATAACATTTGTTAATGCCATTGGATTTTCGCAGCATTAGTGAGGTGGATGCTTGGCCCCCCTTCCCCCCCTGTACATGTTCTTGGCGAAGACGTGATGTCAATTGAAAGCGAATCGTCGCTGGTTGATCAGCTTCGAGGCAAAGCGACAACAAAACGCCAACACACTTGCTGAATTTTTCATGAAGGCGGGGAAAAGTGTCAAATAAAATTTCACACCAAATGGAAATGCTTGAAAATCGTTGTGTCGGATGTGTCGGGTGGGATGGAGAAGTGGAGAAGACACACGCGCGCTTAGCAGTAGTAGCCACAGTAGGCGGCACAGGGATCGAAGGGCTTGCCCCGGCGTGTTATCGAATCCAGCGGGGGCACGGGCATCTCGAGCAGAGCGCGTCGCTTGCGCTGTGCGTCGGTTAGGCCATCGGGTCCGATAACAGGGCCGGTCTGCTTGCCCTTCGGACCCTTGCCGTCGGCTGGGTTCCACGGCTTGGTGAGAGCTCCAGACTTTTGCAGGTACTTCATCATGTCGATGCCCTTCTTCTTCTGATCGACTTCCTTCTGCTTGGCCTCCTTTTCGGCATTGGCCGCTTGCTCCTGGGCCTTCATATAGCGCTGAGGCATTCGCACCGGAATGGGTCCACTGGTGCCTCCTCCGCCTCCTCCGCCTGCTCCCCCTGCTCCGCCTCCACGACCAACTGATGCCAGTGTTCCCTTCAGACCTCCCCCAGCAGCAGCTGCGGCCACTTTGGCAGCCACACCCTTGGGGAATCCTTTCCATCCGGTTGTGCCGCCACCGCCACCACCGCCTGCTCCTCCTCCGCCTCCTCCACCCCCAGAGGCATTGCCTCGGCCGCCTCGACTGGCTCCTCCTGGTCCCGCCGGCATCGGGCCACCCTGAGGAGAGCCCCAGATGCCAGGCGCCTTCGGCTTGCCGCCAGGCTCGGCGGACGGGCCGTGCGGTCCACCGCCACCCCAGCCAAAGAGACCATCCTCGAAGACATCCTCGCCGGGCGACCCAAAGGCCGTGGCCACATAGCGATCGCCCGCGGCACAGTTGTACGCTCGCCAGTAGGGATTCTGCTTCGCGGGATACTTGGGCGGCGGCGGTAGCTTGTCCTTTTTGCTGGTCTGGGTGCCTCGGTTTCCGGTGCGCGCCTTGGGTCGCCTGTACGGCTGCTCGGTGCCCGCGGGGGGCGTCACATCGAAGTCGAACTCCATGTCGCTCTCGCTGGTGTCGGTGAGGATGAGCTGGTCGGCGCAGGGCGCTATGCAGTGGCGCTGGCACTCCTTGTTCAGGGCGCGGAAGAGCTGCTGCTTCTCCATGGTGTTGCGGCAGGTGCACATCATCAGCGTCTGGCGGCAGGTGCACTTTCTGAAGCCCTTGTCCTTGAGTATCCGCTTGATGTGGCGCAGCGCCACGGCCAGCTCACTCTTCACCACCCGGAAGGTGATGGGCTTCTGTCGCATCCCGAGCGTGCTCAACGGCCGCAGGGTGATGAAGATCTCGCCGTTCTTCTTGCACACATTGAGCACCGGCTGCTGCAGCTCCTTGGCCAGTGCCTCGGCCTCCGCGGCCTTGCACTTCTTGAAGGCCGACTCACGGGTAGAGTCCACCAGAAAGAACTTCATCAGCTTCTTGATGGGCCGCCGTATGGCGCCGGGTCGCCAGCCCATCTTGCGTGCCTCGTAGCTGCTGCTCCACGCCCAGCCGTGGTCCCTGGACACGCCGCCCGGCTGGCGCACGCAGTGCTTGTGGCGGCCGGTCACGGTGCGGGTGTTGGTGGGGCGCTTGCCATCGCCTGGGATGTACAGAGGCTTTCGCGTGGTCATCTTCTTGAGGTTATCCTTGCTGATGTTCTTGCGAACGTCCTTGCGCGACGTCTTGTGCGGCTCCTCCTCCTCCTTGGTCTTCTTCAGCTCACAGTTCTCGTCGAAGTCGGACAACTTTTTAGTGTCCTTGATGTCGTAGAGGTCGCGCAGCTCGGAGAATACCTTGGCAAGATAGGGCCGACAGTCCTCGCTGCTGGACTTGTTCACCACGCAAAAGTCTTCGGTCGGCTGCGGCTCCACCTTGGGGCACTTGGCCTGCACCTGGTCCGTCTTGAAGATGTCTGCGCACAGTTTCCGGATGCGGCAGTGGGCGCAGAGCTTGCCGAATTTGCAGGTGCAGCGGCAGGGCGGACACTCGTCGGTGCCACCAGCATCCTTGTCCTTGGCCGCCTTGTCGCACGGATCCACGCAGTAATCATCGATGTTGGCCGGCGGTTTGCCCAGGAATTCGAGCAGAATCTGATCGGCCGTCAGCTTCTTCTCCTTGTGCCGCTCCTCCACCACCGGCATCGGCTTGATGCCACACTTTGGGCAGGACGCGAACTTGGGCATCCAGGACATGTTGGTCAGGCACACGGGACAGAAGCGGATGGGCTTGATCTCCGGCCGCTTGCCGTCGCAGTCTGCTATGGGCATGGGTATGCGATTCCGATCGCAAAAGTCCGGCTGCTGCTCCTGACGCGTCGGCAGGTACGAGAAGCAGGGCAGTTGGGGCGCTGGGGGGGCATCACCCAGCATGTGCATATCCACGGGCATGTGGGTGTCGCGACAGGGACTCATATCGAACTCCTCTGGGTGCCGACACGGCGGCTTCGGAGGCGGCGCGCAGCCCGTGGATCGGGTTATGGAGTCAATCAGCTGCTCATACTCCACGGCCATTTTCTGCAAGGGGGGGATGGAGGGGATTATCAATGGGAGTTTACAGCTTAATTACCCACCTTCAGTTCACAGCAAGCGGGAATACCAGATGGCCTGTCCGTCATCATTTTGTTGGGATCAATGGCGCCGGCCGTGTGGCTGCGATATCGCTGCAGATCCAGGCGCAGTCGCTCGTCCCCCGGCTCGGAGTCCAAGGCATCCAGGCAGGGATCGCAGGGACTGGGACAGTGCTGCGACTCGCCCATCACGAACATTATGTCCTGCGGATTGATGCTCTTGTCCATGTTGCGCTGGCACTCGCTCTCGGCCCCCCTGCGGAGCATTGGATAAGTAGTGGATTTTCATGGCTGTCCATGGGGTTAACTCTCTACGTACTTTGGCAGATCGTTGCAGCGGATGACCAGGCGGCAGAGTACCTCCAGCTGACCAGCCGACTCCCCGCCCTTGCCCAGCACACACGTGTCCACGTGAATGATGTCGCTCATGTCCGCTTCGATGCGCTCCGTGACCGCTTCGGGAAAGGATATCTGGCCGTTGCCCACGGCGCGATCCATGTACTTCACCACGAACGTCATGCCGCATTCCTCGAGGGTGGTGCGCAGCGATTTGGGCGACGTCTGGAACTCCAGGCCGCTGCCCGGCTTGAACTCGTTGACATTGATCCGGCTCGAGGTGAGCGTCAAGGGCATGCGATTGAAGTTGACATCGATGGCCAGCCGCTTGGGATCATCGATTTCTACGCCCTTCGCCGCCAGATTGGTCACCACAACGTCAAAGATGAATATCGGCGGCGGCGACTCCTTAACCGTGGTGGGCCTCGCTTTCTCCGCTGGCGCGGCCTCAGCTGGCGCGGGCTCTGGCGCAGACAATAAAATCATAGACTTGGCCCTCGGCCTCCCTATCCTTCGCTTTGACATCGTGAATCGGAGGGCACTATACTTGGGTAGGAATCACTGTCCAGATACAATCGAGAATTTTGTGCAGCAAATTGAAGATTTTGTTGGACTCTGAGGGTTTTGGTTGGACTCTGCGGTCGCTGCACAATATTTTGTGTAATTTTTTTGGTGTATTAAAATTTTTGTTTTACTTTAAAATTTTTTGTTTAATAGACTTAATACACTACTCTAATAAATCTGAACTACTGAGCTGACGTTGCGATGTTCACAATAAACTGAACTTTGATTTGGGGACACAAATCTCTATGGGGACACATTTGTGATGTGCCGACTACTTCGATGGTTCGGCAGGGCATCGACCTGTCTGCCCCAGTCCCAGTCCTAGTCCCAGTTCCCATCCCCAGCAGCTGCAATTTCACTTTGTTTCTTACGAGTATTTATCTACTTATGCACTGTTTATTTATTGGCTGCCGCAATTCGCATTTTCCTTATTACTCTGCGGGCTAAGCCGCGCCACGCTGTGCCAGCAAATCGATTGCTGTTGCCCTCGTTGCGACCCCTGCCCAGGCGCATGGGAGCGCCTGGATTTGTGCCCCAGATTCTCGGATCCCGAAGGGCAGGAGGTTCGCCGTGCTGGCCCCCGCCATTGTAGCCAAAGACGCCGTCCTCGAAGACGGTTTCCTCGTTGTCGCCAAAGGCAGTGCCCATGTACCGATCGCCCACTCCGCAGTCGAAGGCGCGCCAGTAGGGATCCTGCGGAATGGGATAGAGTGGTGGAGGCGGCAGTTGGTCCTTTTTGCTCGTTTGGGTGCCGTGGTTCAAGGTGCGCTTCTGCTTTCTGGGCGGCTTCTGGCTGCCCGCGGGTGGCGTCACATCAAATTCGAACTCCATCTCGCTGTCGCTGGTGTCCGTGAGGATCAGTTTGTCCACACAGGGGGCTATGGTGCGCCGCCGGCACTCCTTGTCGATGGCTCGTTCGAGGAGGCGCTTCTCGCGCGCACTGCGACAGGTGCACAGCATCAGCGTCTGGTGGCAGGTGCACTTGACGAAGCCCTTGGCCTTGAGTATCCGCTTGAGCTCACTCAGGGCCATGGCCAGCTCGCTCTTGACGATCTTGAACGTGATTGGATGCTGCTCCATGCCCAGTGTGCTGAGCGGGCGCAAGGTCACGAAGATCTCGTGGTTCCGCTTGCACACGTTCAGCACCGACTGGCTCTGGAGCTCCGTCTCCTTGTTCTTCTCCGCCAGCTCCTGGCAGACGCTGAACACGCTCCGGTGCGCCTCTTGATCCAGAAAGAACTTCATCACTCGGCTGGTGGAACGCGCTATAACACCGGGACGCCAGCCATGCTTGCGAGCCTCGTCGGTGTTCATCCAGTCCCAGCCGTGGTGCCGGGGCACGGCCTTATCGCTGGACAGACAAGTTTTGTGGCCCGTCTTGTGGCGCTCCTCCATGCCACCCAGGGGCACACCTCTGTGCGTCGTGGCCGCCTGCGCCTCATCGGACATTTTCTTGGCTGCACTTGGCGTTTTCATGGCCAGCAGCGACTGAGTGCAGCACGCCTGCAGCTCGGTGGCCTTCCGGGCGTCGTTGATCTGATAGAGATCGATGAGTTCGGAGAAGACGCGCGTGAGGTACGGACGACAGTTCTCCGGCGGCCCAGTGACCACGGCGAAGTCGTCACCTGTCTGCGGCTTGGGGCACTCCTTGGCCTCCTGGCTTTCCCGTGGCTGAAATACATCCTCGCAGAGCTTCCGTATTCGGCAGCGGACGCACACCTTGCCACTGGTGCAGGTGCAGCAGCAGGGCTTGCAGCCGTCACTGTCCGCATCGCCGTCCCCGTGGCCGTGCATCTGCTGCTTTTTCTTATCGCAGGGATCCTGGCAGAAGTCCTCGTTTTCCGAATAACTCTTTCGCTTGCGCAGCTGCTCCTCCACGATCTTGTCCGCCGTCAGCTCCACCGTGTGCCGCTTCTCCAGCACGGGCATGGGCCGCGTGCCGCAGTTGTGGCACATGGCGAACTTGGGCAGCCAGGACATGGCGTGCAGACAAACGGGACAGAAGCGGATGGGCTTGATGCCCAACTCTTCCGTGTCGCCCAGTGGCACGGGTATCGTGCGCTCCGCTTGCCGATGAATGGGCACCCGCCGGGGTGTCTCCTCCCTGACTGGACGCACTATGCAGGGCGTGGGCTTCAGGTCCTTGACCCTATCGGCCACCGACTGAATGATGCTCCCATACCTATCTGTCAGCTGTCGCAGCTGTCCAAAGCAGGGCCCCTCCTGCGGCTCGGGCACATCATGGTCGACCCGCGAGTTCCGGCTGCGATAGCGCGAGAGATCCAACTGGAGCCGCTCATCGCCCGGCTCGGGCACCAGTTGGTCGTCGCATGGATCCGAAGGAATACCACACGGTTCGGCGGATCCCACCATGAACATGATGTCCTGCTCGTTAATGGAGGGACCCAGATTGGCACAGCTCGGACGTCGCTTGCTGCCTGTGTCGGGTCTAAGGAATAGCTTTGAATTGGATGTCCTTGGAGCCGCAATGTCCTTCTAGTACTTACTCATTGGGTGGATTCTCGCATTTGATGGTGAGCCGCAGCATAATTTGCACAGTGCCAACGATCCCCTTCTGGGCTTGCAGGTTGCAGATGTTGCCGAACATCAAGTCGCTCATCGTAACGCTGATGCGGTCGGTAAAGTCCTCTGGCAACTCCATCGTGCCAGTGCCCAGGGTCTTGCCGGCCAGGCGCACGGTGATGGGTAGCCCATTGGCCGCCAGACTTTCGCGCAACGATTTGGGAGTGTCCTTGAACTCGGTCTGACTGGTGGGCGTGAACTCGCGCACATTGATGCAGCTGGAGGTGAGGCTGAGGGGCACTCGGCCAAAATGCATGGACACCTGAAGATGCTTCGGTTCGCGGATCTCCTCATTGGGCAGCTCCAAGTGGCTGACGACAATGTCGCACAGGAAGTTTACCGCCATTGCTGCAGTCCTAATTTATCAGACAGCCAAACCCAATTGAGAATTTCGTCGCTGGATTAAAAATATTCAAAGTAAAAGAAAAAGAATGCGGAAAGCTTTTCCTTTAATTTGCAGTCAAAATGCCGTCCTTTTGTGTGTCTAAGATTCAAAAATGTAAAACTAATTGAAAAAAGAAGAACTGAAATTTATTTATTCGTTCATGTCGAACCTGAAAATCAAATCAAACTGGGATCAATTTAAATCTTTCCCAAGTGCCTGCCAGTTCCTGTGGGAACTCCAAAAGGAAAGCTCATTACCAGCGCTGACCTTCGGTGACCTATTGCTGGCCCCCACGGGACACTGCAGACTGTCGAGGGTGTCTGGCTCTTGGCCAAGGCGCAAAAAAAATGTTATTCTAATTACTTGAGGCACAGCCATCACGGACACACTCTTTAGCCTGTTGCACCGCAGAGGGCATTACCCCAAGACCTCTGCCATGCCTTGGTTGCACCCTTACGTTCAACCCACAGAAATTTATTGCCTCGGCTCGGTCCTCGGTCACTGCACTGCAAGAAAATAAGTTCTGATATTAAAGAACAATATTTCCACTACTCCTACAGTATCGAATTAGTGTAGGCGGAGAGTTGTGGTGGCTTTCCCCTCAGTGTACAGGTTTTCGTAAGCGGCTTAGCACGCAAGGCATGCCACTGCCACGCCCACTAAAGTGTGCCACAATTTATCATATCAGCCCGCGCTCACATGCTCATCTAAATTAAGTTCAATTTTAATTAAATTTCGCGCATTAAGTCAACGCCTATCGGTTCTCTGGCAGCCTGCACCTCTCCCCTCCCCAACCACGCCCTCGTCACCTCATCAAACTATTCAAACGGGTAGGGGGGGATGTTGTAGAGTAGAAACATTGCAAAATTTGTCCAAAAATGCTGAACTGCAAAACGAAAACGATTTTCCGAGGGAGGAGAAGAACAGAACAGAACAGCAGAGGACAGCACAGAATAGACTCCCCGACTAACTAAGCCGATTTAATTGGATACAAATTAGTGCAGCCAAGTGGGTGGGCATCCAGAGAGGCTGAACGATAAGGGGGTGCTGGGAGTGGGAGTGGAAGGGAGTGGCTCGCTGTTGGCCAAACAATATCAAATTGGTTCCATGGGGGCGCAGCTCGTTTCTATGTATATGTTTTGGTTTGTCGAGTGTTTGGCCGGGTCCTGCTGGCCAAGTGGAAACCACTCGTGCATAAATTATCCAAAACTAGTTGGGCCCCCCAACGATACTCTAACCAAAGGACGAGAACATCGAACCACAAAACCCCAAAGTTTAGTTTCCTGCTGTATGTCAGGAATCCTTTAATCGATTGCTGTAGTTCGGCGAGTTGCTGCAACTGGGTTTCAATCTCCGTCTATCCGTCTCTTAAATCATTTTGTTTTATTATTAGCTAGATTTTCTTTAAATTAGAAATCATCCAATTGATTACTGAGGACATTCAAAGGCATTTTCGAGCACATTTTAATTTAATTTGATTTCATGCTTTATCCTAACGCTACAACAAGTAAACAAACTTATTTAGTCACTCATCCTTTAATTAAAAGACAGCTTTGATTGATTAGAAAAAACCACTGGCCCCCTAACTAAAAGTATTTCCAATTAAGTCTGAACAGACTTGCATTTGTTAGGGTGTACATTGTATAGTGTACACCCTTCTAGTGTGCCAGAAAATGTCCTCCTTTGGTTGCAACAACATTTTAGCCCCGAGTTTGCATAAATGTGTTTGCGCCCACAAAACGTGTGAAAACGGCGATGAGAGAGCGCTGGCTGGCCAACATTTTCGTGCGGCACAATTGGCTTTGCTCTGGTCGGAATTGTTGCATTAATGGCTTCTTAATTAGTTGGCCATTTTGTCATGGAAAGCAATTGCAAAACAATTTTCGGCATTGTCAGAGTTTCGATCGAGTATCAATCGAGTGGCGAACCGAATTCCTCATGGAAATTGTCTCTGGTCAGACTTTCCATATTGAATGTCCATCGAGTGGTGGACGAAATTGCCGAAATGTCTAGTCTCCAGCATTAGATTGCCTAACTTATTTGCTGAATCACTTTCGAGTGAGTTTTCCGATGCACTTTGGCCCCCAACTTATTTGCATACACACAAATTCCACATCTTCGTTCGAGCTGCAATTTAATTGCTTTGCCAAATTAATGTCTCGACTCAAAACAAATGCCAAGCACTTTGCTAAGCCAAAAACCAAGCAATTAGAATTTCTTGCAGAGACACAAAGCCCTGTCTAACTCCATCTAAATCTGTCTCTGTCTTTTTGTGTGTGTGCGTGGGACAGTGTGATATGGCCCCAGGCATGTTGGCCATAAGTAGAGCTTAATAAATCCTTTTGGATAAACAATAAAACAAAAGATATTGCCACAGCAGCAAAGCTGGCAAAACTTATTCCAATTCTATTTCGGCAATGGCCATGACAGTGGCAGTGGCAGGGATCTCACAGCCACATTCCATTGCCACAAGTACTCGTAATTGGTAAGAGGGAGAGTGCGAGTGCGAGTGAGCATTTGGAAATGCTTTTTTGGCCCCTTTGTTCGGTTTTCGCACGTTACGTATACGCCACAAGTACAAGGCACAAGGCACATGGCACCTCTTCGCCGTCTCGCTTCTGCTCTTTTAGGTGGCTGTGTGCCTGTAGCCGCATCTAACCCACTGATTCTGGCTAAGAGCATTGCTGATGTGGCTGCCTCTGGTGGTGGTGTTGCTGCTGGTAGACAAATGAGCACTGCCATTAAATGCGTTTGAAATATGCTGGCAAATCCCTCACAGCTGCAGCTGGAGTTGGATGTCGGAATTCAGCTATCCGATAAATCTCCGCATGCTGAAGATGTAAGGGAGATGATTCTGGTCTTTGAGAGACTGAGAACTTACTCGTTCTGTCCAAAGTGTTACATTATGGCGGATGGTAGGCTTTCTATACCAAAGCCAAAGTGTTGCCTGCTCTACCCTCTGGATTATGGGGGCTTTCTCCGCGTTCCTTTTCAGTTGCAGCTTTCCCAGCTTCCACAACTTTAAGCTGCATTTCGCTCAAATATTGATTTTGTTTGAGGCATCGGCATCGCTTCCATCGCCTCTGAAAGTGTATCCTTCCAGGTCCTACTTTGATTAATACTCGTACCTTTCTGGCTGTCAAGCTTCTTCGCTTTGCCTGATTAGAATTTGACTTCAATTTTTGGTATTTTTCTGCCATTTGGAGATAAGCAAAAGGTTGCGATTTTTATGACATTTTTGCTCATTTTAATGTCCTGGATTGTGGCTCCCCCTCGCTTTTCTTGATCAACTGCCTTAAGGGTATTTGTCTGCCCCACACACATACTGCCCCTCTTCTCATACATACATACATATGTACATACACATAAAAATATAAGGGGAAAGGCAAGTAAGTTCATCTATTTTTTATTTGCCCTTTGCCAGATGCTTCAATATCATTTGTATACCCACACACTCGTCGGTGGGGATGTATCTGTATGTGCCTGGGAAAAAGCATTATGTTCAAGCAAATTTCAATATTGACTCCGACTGTTTGTCTCCAGTCTCTGTCCCAGTCCCTTTCGCTTTGTGCCAAACTCTCTAAAGCGTTAAAGGTAGAAAAAAATCGACTCCAGGTTAAGTTGAATAATTGAATATTTATTTGATTTTTACCTGAATTTAGCTTAGTCCTCGGCTTTGAGGAGGCTGCCATTGTTAAGGGCCCTTAATATTTTTTCCAACCTCGAGTTAAATTACATCCGCTGCCTGACATAATATTGCATACAAAAGGAGTAGATAATAATGGCAGCATAATATGCAAAATGCTCTCACAAGATACATTTTTCACCGTCGCATACACTCTTTGCCACTTTCATTTGGCAGCATTTTTGAATATATTTGTGCATGACAATGGGAGCCATTTCATCGTTGGAAGGAACCAATTAAATTAGACGTTCCCCTTTCCCCACAATATGCATTGGGAGGTGCATTTCAATTGCTTTTTCCAAAGAATCAGTCGGTGAAAAATGTACCGTTTGGCATCAGCTTAACGAAGAGAGAGGCGATTTTTACTGGTACGAGTACAATCGCGATGGCTTCTGACTTTCAGCTGGTGACCGCAAAGCGGAAATTAAAACTTCAGGCCCGACAAGGCGAGAATGAACGTGCTTGTGCATGTTTGTGCTTGTCTGTTTGCTTGCCAGTGCATCCTTAGGCTCAGTCAGACACACGCACACACACACACACACACCCACATAGAGAACTGGCTCGGAAAAACCCCCCAAACCAAACAAATAATATTCGCTTGCGGTTCGCTTCGGTTCTGCATGTGTGTGTGTGTTGTATTTGTGTTTGTGTTATTGAATTCCGGAAAATTCTTTTTTAATGAACTCGAAATTCCTTGCACATGCTGCGCCAGGAATTCCAACACTATTCTCTGCCACAGAGGCAGAAACCTGGACACTGACAGTTCGATATCTGTACAGATGTTGGGGGGGAGGGAAATTTAATTTTGGAAAAATGCTCTAACACTTACCTGGCCTAGAAACCAAATGGAGACAGAGAGAGAGATACTGCTGCGATAAATGAATCAAATTGGAAATGTTCTTACCCATTTAATTCTCGTACATTTTTCGGTTTGCCCCCAAAAGAAATTCGAGGCTATCGATGATGGGGAGGGAGGCTGAAAATGCAATTAACTAAAAGCCAAATTCATGCTTATCAATAATGTTTCAGTATTTATTTAAGTATTTCTCACTTTGCTAGGTATTTTCGGGGGATAAACTTAAACCAGAGCTTAGTAATTTATACAGAACAGGTTGTGAAGCACAAGGTATCAGGTGCAGGGTTAACCTGGAGCGTAGGGAGAGAGTACACCAGGTGTTCTTGATCTTAACAGACATAAAGACATGTACAGATTATACACAGACACATTAACGCTAATTCTTTGGAATGTTTCTTTAATCTTTAACCTTTTTTTGTTTTAGTTGTGGGGCTACATAACGCACACACATTGAAATATTTACTGACTTACTGATTCATTTATTTATGGTTTAATTCATACGTTATTCATACATTTGTATGTATCATTAGACAGCAACAATGAACTACTATTTTTGACTACAAATTTGCTTTTTGCTTTTCTGATTTACGGCTATCTGTGTGTGTGGTGTGGTGTGGTGTGTGTGTGT